AGAACAATGTCGGATAATAAATCTGAACAAAATATATATATATAATTTACATAAACATTGATTTCATAAGATGCCTCAATTAATGGTGCATCAACTTCAGCTTCATTCGTCACAGCAGTGTTAAAATTTTTTTGGACAGTGATAGATTGGACATCAGAGTTGGCAGCTGGAAGTTGTTCTTTTCACCCAGAAAGCTGATGATGGGAAGAAAGACAGCAGGGAGCCCAGCTGTCGTCAAATGGTCGACGATGGTTGGGTATGATATTAAACCATGAAATTTCCCTTTGGTATTAATAAAGTATTTTGAACTGAATTGAAAATTTTATACAATCAAACTTTATCCGTCGACCCCTCCTCTGGCTATTAAACTTAATGTACTTGCATCTTTAGCACATGCTCTACTTATTGTTTATGGTGTTGAAGGAAACTGGGGGTGTTGACTGTTTCAACTCTGAGTCAACAATTGAGGAGTCGGGGAACATAGTACATGTGATCATGAATAAAAGGAAATGTATGGTTTTGTGGTTCACTTGACCCCAAAGTTAGCGTGATCTGTTCTAGTCTACCAGGTCTTCCAGTTTCCTTTGTGGATATTCCCATTCAGCTCAGGATCCTGTTGCGGTACGGTTTGTCCATCCTGATTAAAGCTTAGGATGCAATCTCCTTTCTCCACTTCACAATCAATAGTGTATGCTAAATATCTGGCACCTGATCCCATTCCAGCTGTCATGCATGTCTCACTTGTTGTAACCCATCACACGTTTCTCAAAGGTTTGATTGTAAAACAGAAAAATTCAAAAGGAGAACCCTTTGTAGGTTTGTACAACTTGGAAAAGAAAACCTTGAAGCACTATTACTCTAAATGCTGGAAATGTTTCAGTAACTAATGAAAAGTACCGGTAATCTAAGTTACAGTGCATTAAATGAGTGGTTCCCACATTTTTCAGGTTATGACCAATAAACCATTATGACACTAATTAATCAGTCATGGATTAATTAGCTTTTATTACAGCAAAATTAATTATTTGAGCAGGAATTATTTTGGCTTTAATACGCGCACAGATTTAGTCAAAGTTTAACTATTCGATAAATAGTTTACTTTGGAATTTGGTTGAGAGATATTATTTAATGTGACCAGATCAAGTCATTTGTTTTCCCTGCAAAGCAGGAGATTATTTATTAAGTTGCATCAGCTAAAATGTCATAACCAGACCCAAAGTGGCATTCATGTTATCCGGTTTCAGCTCCTTACCAGGTCAGTGTTGAGGACTTGAGTTCACTCGGCTTTTTTGGAGTTTTGCTGGTGGATCTGACCAGGATAAAACCACAAGGACAGGACTAGCCAGGCACTACCCAAGGTAGCCGAAAGTCACTGTGACTGACCGCCTCATGGGTCGGTGTCTCAACTGATGAGAAGCTGTGCAGGCAATCGGCAACCTTAAGCTGAAAACATGTTTCGCAGTGAGAAAAAACTTTTTATCTTCTGTAGTTACTGGAACTCTACTTTATTTTGCTTCTAACAAAAATCGTTACTGCGCAAACTTGTTGTTTTCTTTGCTCAGGAATAAGCAAAGATGGACATCAGAATGGGGACGAGAGACGAACTGCAAAGTGTCACACAAAGAAACTTTGTTTGAACTCTCAGCTCTCAGAAGGGTTTTGGGATCTCTCAGATGTTATGACTCCCCACTGACGTAAGCAGATTCCGGCTCAAAAACACATGAGTGTCTCTCAAGGAAAAGTTATTTTCTGAAAAATAGAACAGAAAGAATATGTTAAAACACACAATATTTCACATGATTTCATGATAATGATTGCAAACATTATTTATGTTCACACCTGTCATAAACAAATAAAACAAACTTCCTTAATGATTTTTTTTTTTTTAAAGCATAAAAGACAATAATAAGGACAGTGAATGTGAGAATGATTCAAGTCCAAAGTAACTTTAAAGAAAACAGTTCAGGGTGAATGTGGTAGACTATCCAAGGGTCAGAGGTCATAGTCAGGGGAGCACATCTTTGTGCTACATTTGTGACAAATTTCTAATTCAAAAAGGGGCCGCATCAAGATATCAGCCTTTTGCAAATAAAATGCTAGTGTTTAAAAAATGGTTAGGTTTGGATCATTAAAATTTAAATGGGAAACATTGGTTTTATTTTGTCTTGCAACTATTATGATGATCTACATTTTTTGTGCCATACAAAAAAGAAAAAAAAGAAATGCACCAAACAAATTGTATACGAGCTGCAAGTTTACGTTCTCATTTGGTTTCCAACTTCATATACAGCCATGAGACCCTTACCGTCTCTTCAGTCCACTATGAGGTGCTTATTCATGTTTTTGAAAGTGTGGCAGATAGAACTAGGAAACAGACATATAGGGTACGTGAAAACTAATTCGTATTTTATCCTCAACAGTGTAAATTGAGATTTATCCCTGGTTTCCTGATAGCAAATCTATGTAAGAAAGCCTCAGTTCTTCTTACCTCACCAAAGATGAAGCCAAAAGCGGGTGAGAAAAGTGGAAAAGCCTATGCAAGTTTTATTGCAGGAATGTCACTGATTCACAACACGCTTCAACACTTGCGCACAAACACAAACCCCATTGGAATTCCTCCACAAAAGAAATGAGAACCCTTTTCACTGAGCATCTTTAGACAATGGTGACCAATGGCACACATCCTTAAAGGGTTTGTTGACGGCTTTGTCTCAGGTTTGTCATAGGTTTTTCGTTGCTTTTATACCATGTGAGAGAATCTTCTCTTTTCCACAAATTTTCTACCTTAAGATTTTTAAGGGATAATGCTGCTGAAGTTAACATTTTTAACAGCTAAACAAAATGGTAGATTAGGTGTTTTCAATAGGTCAATAACAGGCTATGTAAGGGAAGAGTCACCAGCTAAATGGCTACGATGGGTAACAATTACCATAACTTATGCCAGACTGTCCAGTTCATGGAATATAGGTACCTTTTTTAGTGCATGCAACATCTCTGCTAGTATCATAATATTCACTTTTAATCCCAACATATTGGGTTTGTTGCCTTTAAATGTATGTACAGTATTAGGTTTTAAAAGACTTTATGACTAATTCCAGTTTTATTAAAAACATCTTAGCCCTTCTATTAAGTTGAGGGATTTAAATTTAGTATAGCCAAATGAATACAAATACAACAAAAATGCAATAAATCAGGTATATTCTCAGAAGGGCAAAGGATTATCTTTTCCTGCTCTGTTTTACTCTCATTTTCTGCAATATTGCACTTAGAATTGGATGCTTAAAGGATGATTCATTGACAGGCATCTCCTCTAAGATCCTTTCTCTCCTTTTGTTCTTCCATTTTTTCCCCTTTATCCAGTCCTTCCCTTCTGTGGAGGCCCTCTAGACCCCATCAAGCCCCACTTTGTTCATCTCCCATGTGAAGGGTCAGCGCTTACCCCTCAAAAGTAAACCAAACTCTCAATGTGAGGACCTTTGTGTGTGTCTGCACCCTGCGCCCTACCAACTTCCTTCTTCTTTCTCCCACTTACTTGTGTCCTACAGACAAGGACTGGCTCCTTTCACAGTGCATCCCTCTCCCCCCTCCCCCAGAGTGGACTTCTCTGGCCCCTAACGGTGCAATTCTATGCCTTATTGCTCCAGCTCCTCCATAGAGCGCAGTCTCATCAAAGCATTTGTGAGGACACAGAAAGAAATGAACTGGCTTTTTGCTTAAACACATTGACATATAGGCGAGGTCACGTGGTGAAAGATGTGGGGCAAGCCTTTAACAAGAGAAAAGGGCAGAATGTGCAAAATGTTTCTTAAAGGGCTCCAAGAGGCCATCTTGGAGGGAAAATGCCAGGGCCTACTTAGAAACGAAGCAGTTTTATGAGTTTGACCCTGTTGGCTGCCATTCAGCTTAATCCACATTGTCCTCTGACTTCCTGCAGACCAAAGCAGGTTTCTCAAGCTCATCTCCACTTCATGTTTAATCTCTCCCTGCTCTTTCATTAAGGCCGCACCATGTGTTGATTCTAAAGAAATGAAGCGAACACCTCATTTCGAGCAAGAATGACCTGGAAAAAGCTTTTGTCTACCAAAGGAATGCTCATAAGACAGAGAGGAACACTGTTTGGTCTGACTTGGGCTGCTATACTGGGGCTGTAGAACGCCATGGCAACGTAAGCAGAAGGTCTGCCCGATCACATAGTGGTGGTACAATACAGCAGAGCGGGGTTTGTCATTCTAGTCAGGCCTGACCCAAATTGCAACATCCTGGGAAAAGTAGTTGACATCAACCAGCTTACATGCGCAGACAGACTTGCTCGTTTTTGGCTGATAGCGATAATAAACAAAACATATGGATGTTTGAAGTCTAATTACTGAAGAAATGGCTCTGTTAATGGTTTAACTCTACATGCCATGGCCCATGGCTGCTGGATTATTGTCTTTCCAATTGTTTACCCAGTTTGTCTACAAGCTACTCTCCATCTGCGATTCTAATTCTCAGCTTTTAAGCTTAATAATCTTGTATATTTTCACGTGTTTATCATCTTGTACCAACAGCCTCGAGAAAGAATTCGGCTTTAAATGGAGCAAACAACAAAAGCAATTAGGACCATGTGTACAAAAGTAGCATATTTGACCAAAAGGCAGAATATCAGAATGCAAAACATCACCGTTACTATGAGAGAAACTTCCAAGTGCATTTTTTTTTGTAACTTCAACAAAAGTTGTCTTTGTGTAAGTTTTAAAAGAAATGTGAACACAAGTCTGGAACTCATGAATCCCACACACTCATAGAAACGTCTCCAATCCAAAAGTTTGCAACCCCAAGAGATGCACACTCACCCCAAATAGCCTTGAAACCATTTGTACAAGTCTGGCAGAAGCACAGCTGCGCACAGAACTTTTCTTGCTTGTCTGGCTGCTCAAATAGCCGTCTTTTCAGAACGTCACACATAAAAAAATAAACTTTTCGGTATATGTGCACCTAGGAAAGAAGAATCCACTTACTTTACTCTGGAGGTCTTGTAGTTGTGTGTCGGGACTTTCTCTGGGCTCTTTTTATCTGCACTTCTGCCCTGCTGCCCTGTCTCTCCAATACGATTTCTCTTTGTGAGCTGTGCACACGATAGGCTTTTTTTTCTTTGTGTGTGTGTGTGTGTTGCATGGATTGAGGGGAGGGTAACAGGGTGGGGTGTTCTCAACTCTGTGTTTCCTGACTCGTGATCAAGAGCTCATTACCCCCCGAAGGTCACTCCAGGGACGCCCTGCCTGGCACTCACCAAGACACCAGAGAGGAGATGTGGGATGGGAGGATGAGAGAAAAAAGGAGAGCATTAAGAGCCCAAGCACACAGGAAACCCATTGGGACTGAAAGGAAGAGCTGGCAGAGGAGCGACCTGCAGATAAACAGAGGAAAAAGTGAGACAATGAGCGACACTGATCTAACAGAAGATGTTCAGACAGAGGGAGCAAAAAATTCTGAATGAGCCCAGAGTGAGCAAACAGGGAACAGTAGACCCGTCAAAGCACACTGTTACATAAAATATTTTGTTGATCCATGGAAAAGTGAGTGTAAAGCAATCAATAGACTATTGATGATAAACAAAAACCTCTAGATTTGTTTTCAGCTCGGTGTATGGCCTGCCGCAAAGAAATACAACTACTATGTCATCGTGTGCATGACTTCTGCAGTGGTTTAAATCAGCATTCATATCTCAATCTGCACCTTCGGGTCACCTGAGGTGGAAAAACTACAAAGAAAAGCTGTGTTTCTATAATTACTTTTGACATGTTAATGCATTACTTTCCATGACACTTTGTCTTTTGGACACAGACAGTTAAAAAAAAGGGATCAGGAGTGGGGGGTGGATTCTCTGTTGAAAAACTATTTGACTTCTCATAGAGAGCCAATGTAAAATATAATTACAAAACTAACATAAGTCAGAGATTTTTAATCCATCCATTCATTATCTTTACCCGTTTTTTCCTTCTCAGGTTGCAGGGGTCACCGTTGTCCATATCCAGCCATCGTTGTATAAGAGGCGGGGTACACCTGGACAGGTTGCTAGTCCATCATAGGGCAAATTTTTAATCTGATAGACGGTTTTCAGTAAAAAAAAAAACTTACTTAAAATGTGAAAAAAAGAAGCAGTTTGCCCAGCTGGAACTTTAAAAATGTAAACCTTTTTAAAATACATAGATTGTATTACACTTACACTTTAAAAAAAACTTGCAATAGAAGTAATCTCTGTAAACAGATACTTGTTTAATCTTGGGGATTATTTTTAAATACATTTCTAATTAATGGGTTGGGTGTGTTTTTTTCTGGTGGATCTATGTAAACAGGGTATAAAGAGCTTTTCAGAAACAAAGACTTGGCAGTTTACTTCACCCACGCTCACTATCTAGAAACCAAAACAACAATGAAGCCATTTTTACTGGGGGAAGGGGGTTTTCAGAGTCTGTCTTGCTCCATCTAATTATATTGTCAATAAACTTTGAACGTGTGATGAAATAGTTTGTAACTGGGTAAAAACTATAGTGTCAAAGAAAAATAAAACTCACTACTGGGAAAATCCTTAGCTAAGCTAAAAAAATTACTTTGTATTTTCATTTGCCATTTGTTTGGTTGTCATCACCACATAAAGTTTCAGCATTTTGGTTCAAATGTGTGGTTAAAAAAATGTATTGCTATAAAAGGGGGTTATTTTCTGCTAGAGATGGGATGTTTGACATTGAGGCTCCGAAGCCCGTTTCATTCAGCTGAAGCAGGTTTGTTTTTGATGCTGTTAAAATAGTTATGAAGGAAGGAAATTTGTGGTGGGCGGCATGATGGCTCAGTTCGTATAGCTGTTGCCTCTCAATGAACAGGTTGCCCTAGTTCAAATCCTGGCTGGGGGGCCTTTCTGGGTGGAGTTTGCATGTTCTATCCATGCATGTGTTGGTTTTCTCTGGGTACTCTGGTTTCCTCCCACAGACTAAAAACATGCATGTTAGGTTGATTGGTAATTCTAAATTGTCCTTAGGTGTGCGTGAGAGAGTGAATGGTTGTCTCGTTTGTCCCCATTTGTCTCTGTGATGGACTTGCGACCTGTCCAGCATGTTCCCCGCCTCTCACACAGTGGCTTCTGGATATGGGCACCAGAGACCCCTTTGACTCGAAAATGACGAAGAGGGTAAAGATAATGGATAGATGGAAGTTTGTGGCTATAAATGCAGCTGACCTATAAATGTCACTGGTAGGGTCTGTCTTGAAGGCTTTGAAGCTTCAAATGTTTGTTTTTTCCTGTCACTTCAAGAAGAAGCTTTAAAAGCTCAATAAGGCTTCATCTTCCCATATCTATAGGCTGCACTGCTGCAGAAAGGAAAGCTCTGCAGAGAGTGGTGAAGGCAAAACAGAAGACTGTTGGAGTCAGTCTCCCCACCATCACAGGCATCTACACATCTAGATGTAGGAAGAGAGCCACTTGCATCATGAAGGACCCCACTCACCCAGCACACACACTTTTTTGCCCCGCTCCCCTCAGGCAGAAGGCTGAGGAGCATTAAGTGCAGAACCACTAGACTGAGGAACAGCTTCTACCCTGAGACTGTTAGACTCATGAATCCCTAACCAGCAAAAATCACTGTAATGCCACTTTAACTGGTTATATGATTGACTACTGACTCAGATTTAAATACAGAGCCTCAAAGCGGACATTAACTTTTACACTGACACAACTGAGGTGCTACATTGTGTCTCTAGCTCTTAAAGGGTGTAATTAAAATCAGTGACATGTGGAGATAAATGCAAACACTAGCATACCAAAGTGTGACTTTAAATATAAAAAAATATGATTCCCATACATTAAACTATTTGACAGTGAGTCTTACGTCACTGTCTTTCTGTCCTTGTCTTGTTCTCCTCTCATGTTCCTCACCACAGATCGTTTTTAGAGTGGTAATAAGTACAGGATACACTCAGTGTATTTGGAAAGCCAGATGGCTGGAGATGACCCTGTAGAGCACTTTTCCACAGCTGTGAAAGGCTTGATTGACAGATTACTGCACACACAATCAATAAAGTGTGCCATTAGTTCTGTCCACAAAAGCTTGTATAGTGATGTCAGACCGCCTTTATCAACTCTCTGAAGTCCACACAAAAAGAAAGGGCCTTGTATATGGATTTATATGGCCGTCTTTCTAGGCTCAGGTTATTGACTGCAAGCCTGAGATGGTTTAATTATGTACTAGATTAAAACCCCTCTTAGTAAGTAAAAACACACCTCTTTTGGTATCAGAGTACCCATATCGACAGATGCTGCTCTTTAGGTGCTATTCAGAGTAATCCCAGCATGAATATTATTCCGTTTTTAACTTTTTCTTTTTTTTTTTAAGTTCAAAAATGTGGTAAAATAGATCATTTTCATTGTTATAACAATTGATCTTACATAGCTCACATAAGTTTTGAAGCCAATAGTAAAAAATTGGACTTGATCTTTAAAACTGTAGGTGAATAAAGAATGTCACTTCAAGGCACCATCGATAACATAATATGCGTAAAACAAAGTTTGCCACACAAAGACCAAAAGCTTTTTAGGCTTCCATCAAAGTTGTCAGGTCCTCGACGGATAAAAAAAAAAAAAAAAAAATGTAAACAAATTAAAAAACTTGTTGAAACATTTAGGTTTTTATCCAAAATACTTTGTCAGTCTGAGGAGTCACACCAAACAAACAGTCTATAAACAGCACCTTCAAATCGTGGATCAACCAGTTTGTTGTTGACATCCAAAACTAGCTGTTCACGTGATAAAGGATTCACTTCCTGCTTGCTCTCGATGAAGACAGTCACTTCACCTGCTCCTGCCTCCCTCCTGCTTTTTGCTCTCTTGTCCTGTGAATCTTTTCCAGAGCCTCTCTCTACATATCTTCTGGATTTTAAATCCTGGATCTGGTCAGCTGGTCTCTCAATGAATTGATAAAATTTTCTCAATGAGAAGACAGGGTGGAGAGCCCTCATGTCCTGAAGGGACATTCGCTTTGGGATATGCCATAGATTTCTGGGACTAGTGGAAGATGGTGTGTCTGTCCGTATTGTCCGTTGAGGAATCAGGGGGTTTCTGGCTTATCGACAAATCTGGAAGACGTCAGTAGCAGATCTGGCCATTTTGAAGTTGCCTGCCATGTGTGAAGGAATGTGCCATGCTTCGAGCGCCCAGACTCAAGATGCTTTGTGAGCTAAGCCATAAGCTGGACATGATTTCTTAGAATCGCAGGTCACTTGCAGCTTCTGGAACTCGCTGGTGTGAAGGATTTGACCTTGGGGAAGACTACAAGTACGGCCCGGCGGAATGACCACAAAATGTGGCTGTTCAGCTTTGCCATTGAGAGGTACCAGCAGAACTTTTAAAGACAGATGGAAAAAAATCAAGCAGTGGCAGCCTGTCCCAAAACAATTGTTATCAAATCTGGCTTCTCCGCTTGGTCTTGAATAAGCCAGCTATTTCAAATTTCTCCCAGAGGTTATGTGGATAATGACACTCTGATGATCCTCCCCTCCTCCTACCCCCCTCTCCTGAGGACATCTATGGGCCTTATCAGAACTGAGCCGCTGATAGACACTGTACTATCTTATCAGAATTATAGAACTTTCTGGCCGTGTCCACGAACAACTCACTGCTTTTGTTGCTCTCCTCATGCATAAATCCCTGGCTTTCTGCACTGTGTGACCTGTGCTGAGTCTGTGTGCATCACACTGTGTTAGTCATGTTGCGGTTGTTGTTGTTATCCATTATTGTTTTTGTCGGTTTCTACTTTTTGGTGTCCTGTTATGTAATCTGTTGCTGTGTGCTTGTTCTGTTTGTCCCTGTACAGCACTTTGGTGTGCTTTGTCACTGTTTAAAGTGCTTTATAAATAAATTGGTATGGTATGGTAAATGGGCAGCACGGTGGCGCAACTGGTAGAGCTGCTGCCTCTCAGCGAGCAGGTCCTTGGTTCGAACCCCGGTCCAGGGGCCTTTCTGGGTGGAGTTTGCATGTTCTCTCGTGCATGCGTGGGTTTTCTCCGGGTGCTCCGGTTTCCTCCCACAGACCAAAAACATGCATGTTAGGCCAATTGGCAACTCTAAATTGTCCCTAGGTGTGAGTGAGAAAGTGAATGG